TGGAGGAAACATTGGTTAGATCAATTATGAATTGAATCACAAATATTAATCAAGCACTTAACCCTACCAGGTGACCTTGAGATATATGTAAAGTTTCTACCTTTCTTCAGCTTACACTTTATCCAATAGAGAAAAAGTCAAACCCAAGAAATTAGATAAATAAAATGTCAGTGAAACATAAACATGGTAAATAAAAGTTGAGTGTTTATAAATCCAAAAATCAACATAAATTTTTCCAGTAAAGAAAATAAATCAGCCCTACTTAGTCACTTTGGAATAAATAAGTTCATGTCTACTAGATTAGTAGCAGCTAAACAAGGGATCAATGTAAACATTTTTTTTCACAACTTATGTCAATAAGCATATGGCACATGAAAATGCATTCATCTGTCATAACAAAAAAAATCTTTCTTATCATCCTGCATTTAATAGGCAGACTTCTCAATATGAGGGCAGGTTGTGTCTGTCAAAGGAGAATGATATAACCACAGTCCCCAAAGGAACTACACGAAAGAAGAGAAAAATACAGAAAATGAACAGCTATGTAAAATATATAACATAAAATTAACCAGTTGAAAGATAAAGAAGAGTTTATTTGACACAAGCTCTGTCATTGTTTGAATCTTTGGCCATTTTTTTAATTTTTTTTTTGTGGGGTCGGGGGTAGTACTGGGGATGGAACTCAGAGCCTTGTGCATGCTAGACAAGTGCTCTGACACTGAGCTACATTCCCAACTCTATTGTTTGGATCCTGAATGTCCCCAAAGGCCCATATGCTAAAGGCTTGGTCACAAGCCTGTGGAATTAGTGGGAGGAGGTAGAACCTTTAGGAGGTGGGTGCTAGTGAAAGGAGTTAGGTCACTAGGGCATACACTTAAAGGTACCCTCTCTCTCTCTCTCTCTGCTTCTCAGGTGTCATGAGAGGACTGGGTCTCTTCTGCCCGGTTCCTCTACCATGATGTACTGCCTCACCACAGACCCAAAGCATGGCACCAAACAACAATGGACTGAAACTTCTGACACTGGAAACCCAGATAAATCTTTCCCCATATTCAGTTGACTTTCTCAGGTATTTCATACCAGTGACAGAAACCTGACCAATACAGGCACACATAAAGTAGACTAAAGGAAGTGGGGCACTCTGGGAGGAAGTATGGAAGAAATAGGGGTTCCTACCTTTGACAGTATTTTTTCAGATCCTTTTTATCTGGTGCATCACAACTGATACGAAAAAGATACAAGTTTTTATTTGAATGCTGATTCTGTTTGTTGGATATTTAAATTTGGAAAAGAGACTTTCATACTTATATGCCTCAATAGCTCATAAATTCAATTTAATTTAATAAATTAAAATTGAGAATTACAATGCCTACATTAGAGGATTATTGGGAGGATAAGATTAAATCTTGCATATAAAGTGCCTGACACAGAGTAAATGGTATTTCACGTTTCACCATTATTTCCTCTTACTACGTCATAAACATTACATTTAAATCTACTGTGCAGTAAGTCTTAGTTTAAACAGGTTCTGGGCTGAGACCTTGTTTGTGTTTTTATTTAATTATCACAATCACCTCAGAAGTTAGTTTTCATTAACATAACATCTTTCAGAAAAAGATATTTAGACTTAGGATGTTAATTGAAAAGTATGAAGCCATATACTTAGAAAGTAGTGGAGCCAGAATTCAACTTTTTGTCTACCTTTCTCCAAAGTCTGTGGTCCTTACTCTGCTAAACAACCTCCCATCCTTACAGGTATCATATGTGATCCCAAGATACGCTGAAGCGAGGGCTAATATAATATCTTTCCTCCCCTAAACCCCAAATCACTTCCCAGTAATCCAAACCCTTCCCCACTCTTGTACCAAAATATTATATGGGGTCACATATGGTTTTGCGAACTAGTATATTACCACATTGGAACTAGTATATTACCACATTGGAACTAGTATATTACCATATTTTCAAATGGTAGAAAATGTAACACATGAAATGGGAATAATATTTCAGACCAATTTGTATGACATGAAGAGTTTGTATAAGAGTTTGTATAATATAGCTAAATATAGAAGTATATCATGTTAAAAAAGATGTGAACATGTAGCACAAAGATGTATATGAAGTTTAATAGTGCCAGGTAAAACATGAATGTATATGAGATTTACAAGATTTTAAATCAATAAAGCATATTAATTGTGTCTTAATCAAATATATAAAAGTTAAATATAAGAGAAGTGTTTTGATGTATGTATGTCAATATGCACACATACCTGCATTAGTTAGATAAAAGACTATGAGAACAGGTTAATAAATATAGTTATGAAATTTAATTCAAGACAGACACAACATATTTTACATTAGTCTTAGAAATTTCTATTTTTGAAATGTGTTGAAACATCTATGATATTGGCTTATAATGTTTTCTTCCTGTATAAAAATAATAAATAAAACTTTAGAATTAAAATATTCAAAACAGTGCATCACAAAAGGCAGTTATTTCAAAATATATCCTGCATCAACTTTTAGGCATGGAATCTTAAACAGTCACCACACTGAAACTCAGCATGGAAAAGCTGGCCTCTTTAATAACATTTTCAGTATTTTTTTTTTACTGTAAGTGGCACAAAATATAAGCATCATGAATATTTTCTCACTTGCTGTATTTAAAGTAAGTAGAAAACATTATTTTATAGCAGTTACTGTGAAGGATCTTTGTGTGAATTTTTTCATGAAAGACTTTAAGAAATTTGAGTAGGTGATATTGATTTGAGAGTAAATTCACAGTATTGCAATAAGGAAACACACCAGGAAACAGCCATTGAAACAGAATGTAAATCACTGAACCTGTAAAACTAAAACAGGGTGAAGAAACCAGGGGACATAAGTTGAGAAAAACTGCAGAATGCCTTCAGTCATAGAAATGAAGTTTATCAAGAATACAGGTGATTCTGGCCTCTGCTTAGCATATAGAAAATGTGAAAAAAAAAAAAAAAACATTCCCTACCTTAAAACAGGAGAAAAACCTGGTTAATCTAAATATTCACAATTTTAAAAAAATTATTAGAGAAATGATGTTGTAGAGCAATCGACTAACTAGTAAAGACAAATGTTCCAAAGGAGAGAGGAATGTGATTGGGATCTGTTATCTGGGCACAGACAACAGGTGCAGGTAAGAAAAATTCCACAAGTTTTTTTTAAAAATTGCTAGAAGCCAAGTGCTATCTAGAATACAATATAGAATTGACTAGAAACCAGTCACAAGGGAAATTACTGGTCATTCACAGGAGCTTCATGGATCTCATCAAGTGCTCATAACAGGCTGGGACAGGGCAAGAGATCAGAGAGAGCCTACCTACTGGTTTATGTCAAAGAAGGAGACCAGCAGATGTTGTGAACAAGGCATTACTTTCCATCTTGGTCTTTTTCTCCTGTCTTCTCTATGGAAAGAATAGAAAACACTGTCACCCTCAGACTGAGGAACAGAACCTTCATACCTGGAAGGAAAGAAGAGATGATAATGCTATTTCCCTGTAAGGAGGCAGGAAAATATCCACAATTATTACAGAATTTTACCATAGAGGAGGGACAAAGCCATTGAGAAGACCCCAATGTTGGGACTCAGAGGCACATTGCTATCCTTGATGGAGACAACAGAATGCAGGACAACAGATCATATACCTCCCCATCACCACCAGAGTGGAAAGCACCAAGGAACAAATAACAAGAACCTACTGCAAAGGATCCTGAGGAATATGGAAGGAAAACCTTTTTTTAAAAAAACTATTCTTTTAGTTGTCAATGGACCTTTATTTATTTTTTATTTATTTATATGTGGTGCTGAGAATTGAACCCAGTGCCTCACACCATGCTAGGCAAGCACTCTAACCCTGAGCCACAACCCCAGCCCCAGGAAAACCTTTCTGAAGCACAAGCTCACTGAGAAAGCCCACATATGCAGACAGAACTTAAACATTAAGAAAAACCCTCTGCAACACAGCACCCATTGTCAAATGAAAGTGATGTTATAAAATGTAAAGTCTCTGGTCTACTGAGGGTAGTGTAGACTCAGCTAAAGCCTGAGTGGAATAAATAAGTTATGCACACTAAGTCCCAACAAAGGAAAAGCTGTGCTCATTTCCAGGAATAAACATTATTTACCTCAATCTCTTGTACTAATAGATGTCTGCCTTTCAACCAAAAATTACAAAGAAACAAGGAGGAGAAAGGATAAAAGCATTATTGGATATGACCCTGATGTAAGAATCATATGGAGAATTTAACATAATGATTAAATGTTAAAGGATCTTGTGGGAAAAGGTAGGCAACATGTAAGAACACAAAGGGAATCAATAGAGAGATAGAAACACTTTATGAAAGAAGCCCAAGGTGGCTCAAAATAAAAAATAAAAAAGGTTCGATCCCTGGTATCAAAAAAAAAAGAATTCCATAGTATGGCAGATATATATATATATATATATATATATATATATATATATATATATATATATATATATATATATATGTGTGTGTGTAAAAGCATAACAGAGACAAAGAAGTGCCTTTGACAGGGCCATTAACCAACTTGATACAGTGTACAGCGAAGGTAAGAATTAGTGAACTTCTTGAATGCAAGTCACTAAAAATTATCCAAACTGAAATGCAAAGAGAAGAAAAAGTGGGGAGAAATGATAATCCAACAACTGTGTGGAAAATACCACCATAATCTATCATATTGTAGTTGAAATCTGGAAGTGTACGAGAAAGAACTAGTAGAAGAAATATTTGAAAAATTAATAGCTAAGTACTATCCAAAATTAGTGAAGCAGGCCAGACCACAGATCAAAGTTCAAAGAATCTCAATCAGAATAAACACTAAGAATAAGTTGGTTGTTTGACTAGAAAGAGTTTTCAGTAAACCATTAACCATCTATGCGGCCAGGGGAATAGACAAATGAACTAGGAAATAGAGAATGTTTGTTCAACTACTTGAATTTTAGACCTAAGGTCTTAAGTTAAGGTTTTTTTTTTTTTTTTGAAATATTTACTTTTTAGTTATAGGTGAACACAATATTTTTATTTTATTTTTATATGGTGCTGAGGATCGAACCCGGTGCCTCACGTGTGGGAGGTGAGCACTCTACCTCTGAGCCACAACCCCAGCCCCTTAAGTTAAGGTTTAATCGTAAGTATTGGCTTGAAATCTGGTGAAATGAGGAGGGCTTCAAAAAGCCGAAATGCAAGTTTCCCTTCTCCCTTTGCTAGCCAAATTGCCTTCCTTATCAAGGGCACAGTGCACTAACGCCCGAGTGTCACTCAGGGTGGTGTTCAGTTTCCCGCTAGCCTATGGAGTTACTCACACAAACTAATCACATACTCCTGCAAGATCCAGAGGTCATCCCCCATCTAGTTATCACAAAGCCTACCTCTCACAGCTGCTGGTTGTTCACTTTATTTCTGAATTCAAAGGCATGTTGTCTTCTTCCCTTGGACTGCAAGTATATGTGGCTAGTGAACTGCTGTTGATCTCACTTGCCCAGTATCAGATGTCATGTATTCTCACATTCCCAAACCAGAGGGTGGTGTTATAGTTTGGATCTTAAGTGTCCCCCAAAAGCCATAGGCTAAAGGCTTGGTTGCTAATCAGTGGTACAATCGGGAGATAGGGCTTAGATGAAGGAAGTTAGCTCATTGAGGGCATGACCTTCGAGGAGATGTTGGGGCCCTGGCCCCTTCCTGTCTCTATCTTGCTCCCTGGATGTTGTGAGGTGAGAAGCCTCCTCTGACATATGCTCCCTGCTCTGATGCTCTGCCTTATCATGGACCCAAAGCAATGTAGCCAGCTGACCAAGAACTGATACCTCGGAACCGTAAGCCAAAATAAATCTTTCCTACTAACACCTGATTATCTCAGTTATTTTGTTACAGGCATGGTAAGTTGACTAACACAGGCTGGAATCCTCCCTCACCAATGGGATGAAGAGGAGTTGATTAAAACACTACACCATGTGTTGTGTGACTCAGGAGCCAGCACAAATGTAGTATGTTTGTATGTATATTGAATTGTTACGGAGCCTGATGAAAGGTAAGAAAGCTTCTTTGTTGAAGTCTAAGACCTTTTGTTAATCTCCTCTCCAACTGTATCTGAGATTTATTTTCTACCTGCCTGGCTATATTTTCAATTGTTCTTTCAATTTCTGCTACAATTTTTCTAGATGGGATCTGACAGAATTATGGTCCCCGTAGAAATCCAGACAATCTGAGTTCTGTGTACTGGAACTGCGTGTACATTCAGCCAAGCGTGCTGTCAGTATTGCTAATCAATACTGAAAACCTGCAACACTCTAATCCCAAAGCTCTGATTACAGAATTATATACAGTTGGTTTTGCCCTTCATCCCAAGATTTTTTTTCCTCCTTCCTCCAAAATAAACCCCTTGGCAACTCTTCTTTTGCTTATTCCAGGATTCATGGTAGAACACCAATCTTCATTTCCACCTTTATTTTCCTGGAGATCTTCTCAGTGTTACTGGAGGAAGATACTAAAAAAGCTTGAACAAAGATGCATTTTTCCTGCTTAGAATATCCTTGTTAAGCTTTGCCCCAGTCCACTATAGAAGCAATGATTAAAATTATAAATATGCTTTCCCCTACATATTGCATTGAAAGAATATAAAAGTTAGTGGAGAAGAGTATTTAGCAACACTTGAGGACCATACTGGTGCTCTCATGTTTTTTTATTCTTCTTCTGATTGACAAATTTGCCTCAACATCTTGATGATCTAGAATTGTCCCTATTTAAGATGTTCTCTCTCTCTTTTCCACCTTTACCATGAAATTTCTCCTTTGAAGTTACCTCTGCATTCTTTACCACTATCCATATTTCTTTTTGCCTAAAAATGTCCAGTTGTAATTCCAGTTATTAGGGAAAATTAAGCACATATGTTTTTAAGACCATGAAATAAGTGTTCAGAGATGCAAAAAAATAAACTGAAGTTTCCTGAAGTTTTAGTTGAGTAAACATACAAATTTTGATCATTATAACATGGGTCAAAAATATGTATTTTCAAGAAAGCCTTCATTGTTGGAAATGGTTTTCTTAGATAAATGGCTGGCTGATACAAGGTAATAAAGTTCACAGAATCATTATTATTTTTTCTTTTTTGTTTTGAAATGATAATATTTTCAAAGGCATCAGCACCAATAGCTTATCTTCTCCCTCTACTGCTGTTTTCCCATCTGAGACAATGTATATTACACCCATTATCATGATTCTTGTAGCAATATGCCTGCATGGCATTTATAACTACAGAGATGATTAATTACCACCACTGCAACATCCTTTGAGACTCTCTCTTTCTGCTTTGAACATCCAGTATACTAAAATAATACAATATGGCATATATCAACACCTGGTTTAATAGAAAGCAATAGTTATGGCTAGCTTAATTAGGTTAGAACATTCATGAGATTTTAGCATCTTTTACCCAGTAAATCCTCATAAAAACTTCATGAAAAAAATGAAGGAACTTTGATTGGGCAAAGGGAGGGGAAGGGTGGGGGGGCATGGGGGCAGGAAAGATGGTGGAGAGAGATGGACATCATTACCCTTGGTACAGGTATGACTGACTGCACATATGGTGCAATGCTACATTGTGTACAACCAGAGAAATGACAAGTTGTACTACAATTGTGTCCAATGAATCAAAATTCTCCTGGCATATATACCTAAGTAAAATTAATTAATTAATTAATTAATTAATTTTTTAAAAGGAAGAAAGAAAGCAGAATCTGTTCAGCGGACCCAAAATTGGCCATAATGCTGTCCCCAACAGGGCAGCTGCAGGTGCAGACTACTGATTTCCAGGTCACAGTCACCAGATTTGGATTTTTATATTATTTCTATTATTTTATTTTCTTCTTCTGTAGTCACCTTCCTTTTCTCATTTTTCAGGTTTTCAAATATCTCTGTAACCAATTTGCTTTCAATTCACTCTGTTCAAAACTCTATTTCTGGCTAGATCTTTCTAATATATGTGTGTTTTAATTCATGGGCATAGAAGAGAAGGGGTAGTTGAAGCAGCTGAGATGGAGTGATATACTCACCTGCCTCCAGAAGAAAGAGCTTTGCAGCTGATATATATCATTTGCACTAATTGCACTTATGCAAGGTTACATTTGAAGTGGAAAAGGAAGTGTTGACTTAGTGATCCTGTTTACTACACTATTGACCTTCTCTTGATCTATCATCAGTAAATAATATTAATTTGACTTCTATAACAGAATGGACTTTTCCCCTGTATCTTTGTAAAACAGTGTTTTCACTTGTATCTTATAATGTGCTCATTGACTTTAATCTCTTTCTTCTTTTCCCTCAAAGCCTCACAGATTAATAGGCACTTTATCTCTGAAGCCATTTTTGACCCACCTTTTCTTGTCTCACTCTGCTTTCTGCCTGTGCCAGGAGCTTTACAGGTCAATTTTGCTTTTTTTATTTTTTTAGAACATTCCTTATTGCTGCTCAATTTAATCCCTTCTCAGGTAAATTCCATGATGACAAGAAAACTCCTTCAGTTTCTTGAAATCTTACTGTGATATGCACCATTGCTTCTGTAGAATATGGCTCCTGTTAAGTTTCAGGAATAATTGCTGATCTTCAGTAATAGAGGAAACAATAACCATACAAGATGGGTTTCTAAGTCTTAAGAATTGACAACTGCTTGCAAGGACATGGCATATAGAAAGGAAATAACATGAGGTGGGGAGCATATGCCTCCAATCATGGTCCTTCACTAGCCCCAGACACTTTCATCATGAGTAATCCCTGCTGGTTTTCTCTTTCAGAGAGACACATAGAAGTAAGATGCCAGATCTCATGCAGAGGGACATCTCTTCAGGGTTTTATTTATTCTTTTAAATGCATTGTGTTCCCAGGAAGAGCTTGTACAAATGTGCCAGAAGCATTGTGTCACCATTGACATTTGGATGACAGTCTTCAAAGTGGTGAGCTTTACTTTCATGTACAAAGGGATAATTACAAGTTTTTCTCCAGCATTATTTGTTTTCCAAAGTTCATATATGCTGTCAAAATATCATTTTGGTCTGACTATTATCTACAGAATCTTATATTTAAAGAAGTATTTGTATGTATATATATATATATATATATATATATATATATATATATATATATATATTTTTTTTTTTTAAGAAGTGTGTGCATTTATACACATACATTTTTTAGGGGGTGAGAAGTACTGAGGATTAAACTGAGAGGTACTGTACCATTGTCCTATATCCCCAGTCCTATCTCTCTATCTATCTATCTATCTATCTATCTATTTTGAGACAGAGTCTCACTAAGTTCCTTAGAGCCTTACTGAGTTGCTAAGACTGGCCTTGAACTTGAGATCCTCCTGCCTCGGCCACTAGTGTTGCTGGGATTACAGGCAGGTGACGCGGTGCCCAGCTAAAGGAGCATATTTTTCCCCTAAAATACAAAGCAATGATGGGGGAGCTTTCTAACCACAAAGCAGAGCTGTGCAGACTGTCTTTCTCTTACAATCTTTACACCCAACATTTGCCAGAAGTTGTTCTAAAAAGCCAAACTCCCACTAGATGTAGTAAAAGTATAAATATAGACTGATTTTATTTGGAAATTGACTCAGGATTTTTACATAATTGTAGCTAGATGAAATTGAAGCTTTTGAGATTTGAAATTCCAATCAAACAATCTGATCTGAAATAAACATACATCCTGCAATGAGTGAATAAATTACACATTTGCAAAATAATAAATGGCAGTTATTGAATTCGGCTAAGCAATATCAACCAATAAATTTAGAACACTTTGGGAAGTAGGAAAATTACACTTGATTACCTATCAGCAAATCCCAGCAAAAAAATTTTTAAAGGTTATGGAAATTGCATGAAATATTAGGTTATTGGCAGTGGCAGCGTATTTCTTACTTGAGTACTTGGTTATTCCAACTTCTTGTTCTTAGCAAACGAAATTCCAGCTCCAAGTTGTAATGAACTAAATTCTACCTCCACAAAAAATTCTATCACAAATTTGTTACTTTTAATGTTGTCTTCTACAGAAATGAGACTTTTTAGAAGGCTTTGACACATGGTCTGTTAAAAATTTACATGACATTTGGATTTTTGCTGCAATGGATTAAAACAAAAGACAATTTTTTTCCAATTTTTCATGCAGAATTTTTACTGAAATTGTGTTTCCTTTGACGTGAGAAAAAAAATAGTGATGTACTCTTTAAGTTAGAGAGTTCTTCCTTTATGCAAATTCTGCTCAAGGATACAATTGATTTATTTACAATATATTTACTTTTCATTCTCTTGGTCGAAGTCATACTTCTAGAATGTATAGTTTTGAAGAAAACTAATAGCAGTTGTAGCTCCGATAGAACTAAAGTAATGCAAATGATGATGATGCAAGGCATATGGTCACAAGTATTCACTCAGTGTACTCATTACATGCAAATCTCTATTTCAGATGTCATTGATACAGAGATGAATCAGATTCAATGCTTTTGAAATTCACAGAGTATTAAGAAAGTCAGATGGGTATGTAAATAATACTAATACAGAAAGAACATGATATCATCACTGTACGTGCAAAAAGTTAAGACCATGGAAAATTCAGGTAATAGAAAACTTCTGCCTGAGGAATGAAGGAAACTGACTACAGCGGGTGAATTCTGTTCCTGAAAAGATGAAATCTTAAACCCAGTATCTGTGAAGTTGGCCTTATTTGGAAATATTTTCTTTTTAAATCAACTAAGTTAAGGACCTTGAGATGAGATCATTTTGGATTTAGGGAGGTTCCTAATCCAATGACTGCTATAATCATAATAGAGTTGAGACATAGAACCATGGGCCAGAGGCTATATCAGGACAGATACAGAAACTGGAATTATGCTGCCCCAAGTCAAGGACCCTGGAGCCACCGAAAGCTACAAGAAGCAAGCAAACATTCTTTTTTAGAGCCTTCAGAGATAATGTATACCTTTCAACACCTTGATTTCAAAGACTTCTGGCTTCCAAAATGGTGACAGAATAAATTTCTGTTATTTCAAACCACTAGGTCTGTGCTAATGTTGTTCTTGCAGACCTAGGAAATAAAGATAATCATTACAGAAATAACATTTGGGTTGGAACATGAAGGATGGGCTGTGTTTGTACATCCCAGGCCTATTGTGTAGCAGGACAATGATAAAGACTCGGAGAAAGCTTTCAGGGAAGAGGATGTAAGCGTTTCAGTATCCTGGAATGTTAAATAATGACATGGGGAAGTAGAAGAGAATAGAGCTTGGTGGAGGAGAGAGAGAGGAAGTTGTAAACAGGAATAAAAAGGTTGAGAAGCCTCAGGGAAGCCATTGGGAAAGAAACACCAAGGACATACAGAGAGCTGATGAAAAATTCTCTTATGGTGCTGAGGATTTTAAGAACTAGGGAGACTCGTGGTCACTGAAGTACACAGACAGTTGAGGGACAGAAGAGCCAGACACCAAATAGATACTCTAATAACATAAGAAATATAATTTTCTTATTTTAATTCCTCACTCAATTTAAAAGTTTTGCAACTTCTTAGAACTGGGTTTTCTATAGAGCCTTTCCTGATTAACCCAATTTCTGCTTAAGAATTATTAATTTATGCTTTTTTCTCTGCTAAAATGAATTCATCTATCACCTTCCAAGTGAATTTGGGAGATCCATATCCTTCCATAGAGACATAATTTATTATTCTTTCTTTGTCTTATCTTCCCACAAGCATTTCTCCAAAGATAATTTTTTAAAAATTTTAAATTGCTGTCTCATAAATAATAAGAAATAGATACAATATAAATAAAAAATAAATCTCTTTGGAGTTATTAAACTAATGTTTAAGCATAGATTTTTGAGGATTACAAAGCACCTTTAAATACATTAACCTATATTTTCTTTTTCTCAAGTTTCATTGAGGGACATTTGAGATGCAAAAAGTTGCACATATTTAATGCACGTATTTTGATGAATTTGACATCTGCACACACTAGTGATACTATTAGCACAATCAAGGTACTAAACATATCTATCACCTCCAAAAATTTCTTTATGATCAGCTCTCTGTAAGTGGGGGTTTGTTTGTGGCAAGAATACAACAGGAATATATTTTCTTAACAGCTACCATTTAGAACAAACCTTTAGAATTTACTGATCTTGTATAACTGAAACCTTAGGCCCATTAAGCAGCAATTCCCCATTTTCCCCTCCCCCTACCCGTGACAACAAGCATTCTATTCCCTGCTTCTATGAGGTAGACTGTCTGATACCTCATATAAGTGTACTCATGCAATGTGTGTCCTTCTGTGACTGACTTCGTACACTCATCATAATGTCCTCAAGGTTCATCCACATTATCCCCAATGGTAGGATTCCTATTTTTTCTTCATGATAATGAGCAGCATTGTGTTGGTAACTGGATCTCCAAATAAATAAATAACTGTCCCAGTTTATAATGTATCACAACTTTTGTGGCAAAAATATTCCCACTATGACCAATTTCAAACTACCAAATGATTTAAAGATGGGCTTATAAAATTCATGAATGTTTACCTATCAGCCAGCCTGTCATTTCCCGCAGAATACTGGCTGTTGGTACTCATCCCTCATTTTATTAAAAATCAAAGCAAAATGATACAGCAAAAACATAACAACAAAACAGTATCCAAGAGAAATTAAGCAGGTTTCTCAACTTTGCACTGCTAGGATGACAGCTCTTGTCCTTTTACTTTATACAGTATGCACTTTTCATACCATAACTCTAACTACCCTTTACTCATAGCCAGGCAAGTTTTTCATTAACTGCATTGTTGTCAGTCCCTTATCAACCCATAAAAATACCTGCAGTACACTCTTACTGAAACACACTTTTTAAAAATAAAAGGCATTTTATGGATGAAACTAAACAATCATTTTAAATGAAGGTAGACAGCTAACAGCAAAAAGTATGGATATTTACATGTTTGGGCACTTTTATCCTGGAATAAAAATGTTGTAGAAATTCATCATTGGGACTTTATAAAATATAAAAACTATATGTTTTCACATAGATTTCCAAAGGCAGGTCATATTACATTCACTCATAACTCAATGGAGGCAATTGAATTAAGATTGAGAAGGGGGAAATAAGTAGAAAAAGATCAAAACAAAATCTGACTTCAATCATGACATGTCTTGAAAACAATGCTTAACCAAAATTAATTCACAATCCATCCTTTAACAGACTTATGAAGCCACTATTCTACATTGCTCAATAGTGATAAGAATGTTCAAATACAAGATTAAAAAATAGCAATGGTTACTTATATTGGGAAGTTGAACAACAGGAATGTTTGGGAACCAGAAAGAGCACTTATCCCATAAATGAACAACAGATTCTCTTATAAGGGAAGATGATTTTATTTTCTAAATAAATTTAGATGTTTTTCCCCCTCCTTCCTCACCCCCCAAACAAAAACCACTGTTTTATTAATCGTTCATTTATTTGTTCATTTGTTCAACAAATAATTAGTTAGAGTAATAGTAATAGTCTAGGTACCACTTTGGATATTGATTATAAGCATTTGCCGTCAATGATATCCTTGAAAGAAGAAAGTATTTTCCATTTTAAAGAAGGATTTATAATCTCAAATATTCAGGTGTGACTCTTTCTTGATTTGACTGCAACTTAAATAAGTGATTCAAAGCAATGTTTACCAAATAAATTGAGATGGGAATTTTATCTAGTGTTGCTCTTGTCTCTTCTCCAGGCATCCAGGTCATACCAGATGTCCCAAAGAAGATCAGTGACCTGCTGGTCTACCAGATCAATAGGCACTCTTGTCAGGTTATAAGGCTTCAACTCAGAAGGGAAGTGATGGTACATTTTTGGTTACAGTGTTCACTCTGCCTGTTCTCTCTAGAACAACTCCAGCTGGAAGTGCAATGGAAGTTTCTTCCATTGGCTGCCCCAGCCTAAGAATATCAGACCAATGACCTATTGCTAAGGAGCCAGAATGCGGTACACCTAAGCCGTCCTTACCTAGGATTGCATTTTACTGATAACACAATCCTTTTTATTGTAATTAAGCTGGATCTTTTGGCATACTACCGAGTCCCTTGTTCTTTGGGTGTTCCAGCTGTGCCAGTTTTGATTAATAACACATACAGATTGTATTATGATAACCTGCTGTGATCAGGATTACTTTGTAAGTACACTGAAATTTAAGATGATAGAAAATTTATCAACTAATTGCATGTCAACTAAAAAATTAAATGTGTTTTTGCTATTAAAGATAAAAAGATCAAATATATATAGGGGATCATTAAAAATAATATCAAAGAAAACCAGATGAATTCAGTTTATTGGAGACTCTTATAAACAGTCATAATTAGGTTGAGTTCTTTATGAAATCAGTGAGTGACACATGTAAAGCACTGATTGATGGTGATTCTAGTAACAATTATAACATGGCAAGGGGACTTCTCTGAACACAAATTGCCATCATGGAGAGTACCAGTCCAAGAGCGGAGACTGGAAAATATTTCTATTATGTTGAATCTTCAGAAAGATATGATTTCTACTTACTTATTTTCTTTGGGCATTTTTAATCAAGAAGGAAGCAGAATAGCTCATTAGTTAAAAATTTGGTTCTGGGCACAATATGCTAGAATTTCACTGACTCTGGAACAATCCAGTTATGTAAGTCTGAGCAAAACATTGGTAATGTTTCTGGACATCAATGTTCTTATCTTTAAAATGTGGATACATATAAACCCTACTTCACAGATTTTTATGAGATCAGAATGAGTTGATTGCTATAACATACATGAAGCAGCATGTTGACACATTGCAACACAAAATATTAGCTTATCATTCTTATTACCTGAAGGATACTTTCAGGGCCACGTTCACAGGTATGTGAACTGTGCTGATACAATGAAGGTCCATGCTTGGTTTAATGTTCCACTGTTGTTACCTTAAAATGCTTAATAATAATTGAAGGAGATCCTTCTTTTAAAAAAAATTTGCACTGGTCTTCCAAAAAAGGGTAGACAGTTCTGGTCACTACCCTCAGGATCTGATTATTACTAGAGTGATCTTACTATCTGGTACCAATACTTTCCTCAGTATCACTGATGTCTCCCTTTCCAAAATCCAAGGAAGGACTACTAAGAGAATTTTTTCAGATTATGGAATGATGCACTCATAAAGAAAACATCACTGGTGCTCCCAACCCTTTGTTTTCTAACCTCTCCCTGCAGTTAAACAAAACACAAACCATCTTAGTGGACACATTTGATTATATAACTTTGTATAATTACCAAACCAAAAGAATACTCAAGGCAAAAGATAATTTTTAACATAAATTGAAGAGAAATTATAATATTCACATTCTATAAAAACTACAAGGTAGATTTCAAAGTTGTCTAATCTTCATATTTGGAAGATCTAAACATAGTTCTAAATTTATTTCTAATTATGGTTAGTATATATGAGTGAATTGTGAGTCATGATGGTGCTAGGTTCCCATGTCTCTTTCAGTGTCCCATGTCTCTTCCAGTGTCTCTTTTACTGCACAGTCATCTGTACAGTAAAAACCAAGATGTTAAAGTGTAAGTTTGTGAAAAGGGGAAGAAGGAGCAACTAAGCTACCAAAAGAGACCATTAGTTGAACAACTTCAAAATTTAGTATTATTTTTAAGGCATGAACATTTAAAATGGAGTGTCTATTGTTAAGCAATCAGAAGTGATATTGTCACCTTACATGGCTGGTTGAGACTTTCTGTCCATGTATATGCATCAGGAATATAACATGAATCCATCTGTTATGGTTGAGGTATGAGGTGTACCCCGTGAAGTGCCCTATGTTAATAAGGAGGTGAAATGATTGGCTTAAGAGAGCTGTAAACTTATCAGTTCATTATAGTTTGAATGACTAACCCATGGATAGAGGAAGTGGGTCACTGGGAGTATGTCTTGCAGGGTTCATCTTCCCTGTGGCCCCTTCCCCTCTATTTCTGCTTCCTGGCCACCATGAGCAGAGCACCACTTCTCTACCATTCCCTTCTGCCATGATGTGCAGCCACATCTTGCACACAGAACAATGGACTTGACCCAC